AGGAGAAAAAGAGGAGGAGGAGGGGGAGAAAGAGGAGAGGAGGAGGAGGTGAAGGAGGGAGGAGGAGGAGGAGGAGGAGGAGGAGGAGGAGCCACGAGGAGGGGGAAGAGGAGGAGGAGGAGGAGGAAGAGGAGAAGAGGAGGAGGAGAGGGAGGAGGAGGAGCGAGGGGGAGGAGAAGAAGAAAGAGGAGGGAGGAGGAGGAGGAGGAGGAGGAGGAGGAGGAGGAGGAGGAGGAGGAACGAGGGAGAGGAGGAGGAGAAGGAAGAGGAGGAGGAGGAGGAGGAGGAGGAGGAGGAGGAGGAGGAGGAGGAGGAGGAGGAGGAGGGGGAGGAGGAGGAGGAGGAGGAGGAGGAGGAGGAGGAGGAGGAGGAGGAGGAGGGAGGAGAGGGGAGGGCAAGGAGTAGCGAGGGGGAGGAGGAGGGGGAGGAGGAGGGGGAGGAGGGGGAGGATGATGAGAAGGAGGAGGGAGGAGAGGAGGAGGAGGAGGAGGAGGGAGGAGAAGGAGGAGGGGAGGAGGAGGAGGAGGGAGAGGAGGAGGGGGAGGAGCGAGGAGGAGCGAGGGGGAGGAGGGGGAGGAGGAGGGGGAGGAGGAGAGGGAGCAGGAGGAGGAGGAGGAGGAGGAGGACGATGACTGAGCGCTGGACCTTTCGCCGCGGCCGCACCGCAGCCAGCAGGGCGCCCCGGGCGCTGCTCCAGCACGCGCTGCGCTCGGTGGGCCCAGCCCGCCGAGCACCGCGTTCTGCTCGCAGCGTGGGGGCCGCCGCCCACGGGAAGGCGGACGTGGGCAGAGGAGGACGACGACGATGACGATGACGATGACGATGACGACGACGATGACGATAGCAGATGATGCTTATGATGATGATGACGACGATGATAATGATGATGCTGATGATGATGATGATGATGAGGAGGAGGAGGAGGAGGAGGAGGAGGATGATAGTGGTGGTGGTGGTCGTGATGATGATGATGGTGATGGTGATGCTGATGATGAGGATGATGATGATGAGGATGATGAGGACGACGACGATGCGAATGATGAGGATGAGGATGATGATGCTGGTGGTGATGCAGATGATGGCGACGACGATGACGATGATCATGGTTGTGATGATGGTGATGAGGACGATGATAGCGACGATTAGACGGATAATGATGATGATGGTGGTGATGGTGGTGATGATGATGATGATGATGATGATGATGAATGCGACGACGACGACGCTGACGACGATCATGATTTTGGTGAGGAAGATGCTAACCAGGAGAAAGACGTCGAACGTCGACGACGACAATGATGATGAGGATGATGATGATCATGGATGGTATGATGGTGGTGGTGATGATGCGGCGGACGATGACGACGATGATGATGGCAGTGATAATGATGGAGACGATGGTGGTGATGATAACGATAATGATGATGGAGAAGAATATTGTGATTATGACGATGATGATGATGATGGTGATGATGATGATAATGATGATAGTGATGATCGTGATGATGATGCTGAGGATGCTGATGGTTATGATGGGTGATGATGACTGTAATGGTGATGACGATGGCGATGATGACGATGATGATGATGGTGATGATGATGATGGTGATGATGATGACGACGATGATGGTGGTGATGGGGATCCCCGCCTACGAGAAGGTGGGCGTGGGCAGAGGAACCACAGGGGAGGAAGAAGAAGGGGCTGAGGAGGAAGAGGGACGAGAGGAGGAGGAGGGCCAGAGGAGACCCGAGATGTATCAGCGTTGCTGCAACGCGGACGTCGGGCCGAATCGGATCCTGGGGAGATCGAGATCGAATCGGACCGAGCTGGGTGAACACGACATCGGGTTGGATCTAGAGGAGAAAGAAATGTGCACACACACACACCGATTCTGGCCAGGCCCACCCTGAGCCCAGGATCGGTGCACGCGCCCTCCTACCCTGGCCAGGAAGGCATCTGCACCGATCCTGGGTCAAGGGTGGGCCTTGCCAGGATCGGTGCATGTGCACAGCCCTCTTCGCCCGATGGATCGACCGACCCGAGGTGCGCCCCGCAAGCCCAAAATTCTCCGACGCCGCGGTCTGTTCCGGCACGTCGACCCGCAGAGGCCGCTGGACCCCTAGCCGGGCCCACGCCGATCGGCAAACGAATTAGTAAAACAACGCCCACCTTCTCCTCCTCATCCTCCTCATCCTTCCCCTGAACATCTTTCATCCACCTGTACCTTCGGTGTGCTCTTTCTTCTCCTCCTCACCCTCGTGTTCCTCCCGTCCCCACTCCCCCTCCTCCTTCTCATCGTCGAAATGGCTGCTGTCGTCGTCGTCGTCGTTTCGGCTGCACGCAGGAGTGACCCTGGGTGCGCAAGCAGCTGCTTGAGTGACAGAGATGCGGGCGGGAGTGAGCTGTGAGAGCGGCAGGGGCAAGGGAGGGTCTGCCTCCCGGGGGCGTGATCTGACGGCGGGGAAGAGCTGCGACGGAGACATCTGCGTCAACCGTGGTGGTTGTCGTAGGTTCGGCTACACGCAGGAGTGACCCTGGGCAAGAGTGACCTTTGGTGCGCGGCTTTCTGGGGGCCGCGGGGGGACCAAACCTGGGCGCGCAAGCCGCTTCTACGGCCTCGTTTTTAGCCATCCGGGGACCCCTCTGTGCCCGCACTCAAGGTCACTCCGGCGAAAGGTCACTCTTACGTCTAGTCGACAGTTGTTCATCCCGAGTCGTTGCTGGACGGCCCAGGGCCGGGTGACGGCTCCCAGGGGCAGAAACATGCAAAACCTGGGATTGCCACGAACACCGACCTTAAAAAGTGCAGGCGGGAATGAGTTGTGAGAGTGGCTACAGGGGCCCTGGGAAACCCAAATAAACATATACAAATAACAGGGTTCCCCATACCCCATATTTTCTGGGTTTTCGTCTTCCCCCCCACTCCCCGTATTTTCCTACATTTTCTGGGGAATCGACGAATAATCGTGTCTGTGTTTTTTTTCCTCCCGACTGATATTGCCACGACCCCCGACCTTGAAATGCGGGCGGGAGTGAGCTGTGAGAGCGGCAGGGGCAAGGGAGGGTCTGCCTCCTGGGGGCGTGATCTGACGGCGGAGAAGAGCTGCGACGGAGACATCTGCGTCAACCGTGGTGGTTGTCGTAGGTTTAGATCGGCTAGGCGTAAGAGTGACCCTGGGTAAGAGTGACCTTTGGTGCGCAGCTTTTGGGGGCGCAAGAGAGCCAAACCCAACGGCGTGGGCCGCTGATATTGCATCGTGCTCTGTGATCGGGGGGAGCCCGATGAGCCCGCACAAAAGGTCACTCCGGCGAAGGGTCACTCTTACGTCTAGTCGATCAGAGGGCAGAGAACCCACCCCGATAATAACCACACCGACACGCGAAGCCGCTCAGCAAACGCACCCCAAGAAGGAATCAAACAGGGCAGGGCTGTTCAGTAATAGGGAGCCCACAAAGGACGTACACGCCCAGCTATGTACATGAACACGGCCCCTTGACCCGCGAGACCGGCCGCGTGATACGAACATTCGCGCAATGCGAAATCTCGAAACCAGCGTGGATTCATGTACGTGTACGTCCTTCTTTCGCCCCGTTCAGTAAACGCCAATTGTCCGGTCCGGGTGTGTTTTCCTCCCTTGAATGTTGTCTCGGGTCGGGCGAAAGGGGGGGATAGCAAAGGGGGGGTTTGAGAATCAGCTCACGTAGCTGATTTCCCGGCGCCTCCCGGCGCCGGGAGGCGCCCATGTATCGAGGAATGGGCCCCTCAGTGAGGCCGACACCAGCTGCATGCAGCAAATTTCGTAACCCCCCCTTTCCCAATCCCCCCCTTTCGTCCGGCCCGATTGTCCCTGGGACCTTTCTGGGATCTGGGACCTTTTTGGGATGTCTTGGAGCCCTTGGGGCTGGGACCTTTTTGGATGGGGGATGGGACCTTTTAGGGATGTCTTGGAGGCCTTGGGATGTCTTGGAGGCCTTGGGGCTGGGGTCTTGGAGGCCTTGGGGCTGGGGTCTTGGAGGTCTTGGGTGCGTTTTCCTCCCTTGAATGTTGTCCCCCTTTCCCAATCCCCCCCTTTCGTAACCCCCCCTTTTCCCAATCCCCCCCTTTCGTAACCCCCCCTTTCCCAGTCCCCCCCTTTCCCAATCCCCCCTTTCCCAATTCCCCCCCCTTTCGTCCGGCCCGATTGTCCCTGGGACCCTTCTGGGATGTCTTGGAGGCTCGTGTGCTCTGTGGGGGGGCCCCTTAGGGGGCTCCACTCGCCCCGCGGGGCGCCGGCCGAAGATGGCAGCAGCAGCCACGAAAAAAAAACACGCCCGTCCTCCTCCTCCTCCTCCTCCTCCTCCTCCTCCTCCTCCTCCTCCTCCTCCTCCTCCTGCTCCTCCTCCTCCTCTTCCTCCTCCTGCTCCTCCTCCTCCTCCTGCTCCTCCTGTTCCTCGCCCTGTTCCTCGCCCTGCTCCTCCCCTTTCGGGGATGGACAGAACCCCCGTCGCGATCTTGTCGGGGATGGACAGACCCCCCTTTAGTAAGAATATTCCCCATATTTTCTCATATTTTCTGGGTTCTTGTCTTCCCCCCCACTTCCCATATTTTCCCATATTCTCCTGGGAGTCGACGATTAATAGTGTCTGTGTGTTTTCTCTCCTCCTGACCAATGGACGCAGCCGCAGGCGGCGCCGGGGCGTTGAGACCGCCCCGGGCACCTCGGGGTGCGGCCCGCAGAGGCCGGCCGGGGCCACCCGGGAGGCAAGTTGAGGCCAGCGTGGGCCACCTTTCGGGGATGGACAGACCCCCCTTTAGTAAAACGTGGTTTAGTGAAAACGATCTGAGGCCCAAGCCTGGCGGGCGCGAGCCTGGAAAATGACGGCCACGGCGCCCTCTCGAGAACCGCCAACGGACAATTCACTAATCGACGTGTCACTGCTGGGGGTTCTGTCCACCCCCGATCTTGCACAACGAAAGGAGGCGGGGAGAGGGGGGGCGAGCAAGCCAGAGGAGCGGGGCCTCGTTGTCCTGCAGGTGGGCCAGGTCCACCAGCACCTTGGCGGCCGGGTGCTCCACCTGGTCTGCCCGCGGCGGGCCCGGGGAGGAAAGTCACACGCCTGGGCGTGGCCCAGCCGAGCGCGCGCTCCCGCGCTCCCGCGCAGGAGAGCCCACCAGAAAGCATGTGCACGCCGCCGCGCAGGAGCGTGCGCAGACGCGCGCAGCTCATACATTTTGCCCCAGCGGCCAGGCAGAGCGACTGCGCTGGCGGCTGGCGCACATATAGGGCGTACGATTGGCAATTAGGCCGCAGTGCGAGGAAGGAGGAGGGGACGGTCTGGCGCGGGCGGGAGGGAGAATGAGGCCGAGCCCGCTCCGAGCGGGGCCAGCACACACACACACACACACACACACACACACACAAACACACACACACACACACACAGACACACACACACACACGTTCAGGGGCACGCATAACCACACGTGACAGAAACGGATTGTGGGCAACAGGGCGGACAAACAAAATCGGATGCATAGCCCGGTAATGTTGCACTCGCGACAGGAGGCGCTGGTGGCTGGTAGAAGGTGCGACGAAGAGGACGGCGGCGACCTGGGGGATGACGCGGGAGAGGGGAAAGAGAGGAAGACACTTGAACAGGGGGTTGGAGGAGTGAGGACATAGTATATTCAATGTTGTTCACACGATGAAAGTCGGTCCTTGCTTCCCTGATTTGCAACGATGCACCATGCTCGCATTAGGCATGCCGATAATTACAAATACCGTCCAGTCTACACCAGCTTACACATCATGCGGATTAGACATCGAAGCCTGGTCAGCCTGTCAAACCATAGCGTCAAAATAGATTGCACGTGCATTGAGATCGCCTTACAGGGAAATTTGACTCAGCCCGTTACGGGCCTCGACTCTCCAAGCAGTTCTGGGCCTGGACGCAGTAACACAGTTTTCTCGTCTTGTGGAGTGATTCGTCTCGTCTTGAATTTTATCAGCGAGACATCACTCTTGTCTCTCGAGGTGTTCTGATACTTTTTCTAGGCCGTACCATCACCAAGGGTGGCAGCCGCAGTCTCACATTATTCTCGACTGATCAGAGGCACCCCATCGCGCAAGGAACTGCCATGAGAAAACTGCTCGCTATTGACGCAATGTACGCGATGATAAAATCCCAGCCAGTCATGCCCTAAGTATGGATGCAGCCTACCCCGATCAATGTTTTGGCTTCTCGTCGCCAAATACGTCCGAAATCAACAAAAAGGCGGACGGCTCGCTCTGTCTCCACACTTTCACAGGATCCTCGTCGACGTCCGCGTCGTCCTTGTGATCGGCGTCCACCGTTGCGTTAGCGTAAACGATGTGAGGGGCCGCGTCGACTCCCAATACAACGCGCTCGGCGCCACCGCGATTTCCGCGAGCGAACTTTTGCCAAGGCAAACATCGGCTCGCAACCATCGTTAACTGTCGCGCCGGATGGCCTCTGACCTTTTCTATCGTCGACGCAGTCCTTCGCAATTTCCTTCGGTTTGAGCCTGCAGCACGGCAGTCGTTTCTACCGGCGCTCTCAAAACGGGCAGCCGAGAGAATCACGCCAATCATCGTCGGTGTCGTCGCCATCCTTCCCTTCTCGGCCTCGTCTATCTGCTAATCGAGCTGCACAGCGCGCCGCGCGCTACGGCAGGTTCGTGTCGTGACGACCCCAGCGTTGGTTTCTGACGCCGCGTGGATCGTTCAACCTTGAACGATCGGCGGCTGGTCGATCGCCCGGTCGTTCCATATAGGTTGATTCTGGGCCACTGGCGGCCTTCAACCTTGAACGCCCGCGGCGGGGTCGCCGCCGGTCGACACGACGCGAACCTACCGTACGCCTACACCTGGTAACGCACTCTGCACCGACCGACGACGCTGCGAAGGAGGTCGCGCCACCGTCGCCACCGCTCCCGAATAACCCCGGCGGACGCTCGCCCCGTGACCTCCCCCGACGTCGGCGTTGGCGCAGGCGCTCGGCCGCCGGACGATGGCTGACGCCCGAGAGGGTTAAAATGACTACCTACCAGACCACCCCAACCCAACCCGAAGATCCGAATTTCGGGTTGGGGGGGGGTAAGGGTTCCACACGTGTTTTTTCTATGTTTCCCGACCCCCCCCAACTGGAAATCGAGGGTAAATCTGAGCCTTCGGGTTGGGTTGGGGTGGTTTGGTGGGTGGTGATAAAATCCCAGCATATGGGGTACTCGAGACATCCTTCACCGTACGCAGCACCACGCCCCAGACACGACCACGGTGGCACGCAGGCGGCGGCCGCCTCCCGGGCGCTGGCTGGGCCGCAGGACGGGCCGAGAGGGCTCCAAGACGGCCCCAAAAGGCCCCCAAGGCGGGCCCCAAGAGGCCCCCAACACGGCCCCACAGCGGACCTCAAGGACGGCCATGAGGCGCCCAACGAGGGTGGGTCCCGCGACGCCCCAGAGAGGCCCCCAAGGCGGCATACAGACGCCAAGAGGCCACCAGCAGGCCCCCAAGAGGCTGGAGGAGGCCCCCGAGAGGCCCCCCAGAGGCCCCCACGAGGCTTCCAGGAAGTCCCCAGGAGGCCCCGAGAGGACCCCAGGGCCTCTTCGTCCTCCTGCTCCTCCTCCTCCTCCTCCTCCTCCTCCTCGTCCTCATCCTCGTCCTCGTCCTCGTCCTCGTCCTCGTCCTCGTCCTCCTCCTCGTCCTCGTCCTCGTCCTCGTCCTCGTCCTCGTCTCGTCCCCGTCTTGGTCCTGGTCCTGGTCCTGGCCCTCGTCCTCCTCCTCCTCCTCCTCTTCCTCCTCCTTCTCCTCCTCCGTTCCTTTCACCAATACGGAAGAGTCTGGAGGGCCCGCGTTTCACATTCCTGACAGTACGTGGGCCACCCAGAGGCAACAAGTGGGCGCCGTCCAGCAAGACGAGAATCACATCTGGCCTCGCATTGCGCAGTCAGTAGCCGTTTTGGCTGGCGGGCTCGAGCCAGTCTTAGCAGTCAGCACCACGCATGCGACATGGATCCCAGCAGTGGAGCACACGATTGTTGCACACCACAGGCTTGATGAGAACGAAATGTCGACATCAGTGGTCGGGCAAGCGAGAGGTCCGAAGTTACGAGGCGAAGAAGTCTATGACAAGGTGCAGGCTGTGGCGCTGAGATGCCATCGCAGGATGATGGCTTCAGACACACACAGTCCAACAGCAGCTTCAAAAGCATCGGCAGCGGAACAATGGAGAAGCACAACAAAGGCATCTTCGGCTTGATTGCTGGCGCCTGGCCACATTGTTTCCTGACGGCGTTGACCGGGGAATGCGAGAGGCCGACCCATCATGGGAGACTTGGGGAGGCTCACGTGTGCGAATCGGCAGGGCGCAAGTCAGTTTCATCAAATATCTTGAAGAGGCATCTGTTCGGCTCGCCAACCGGGCGCAGAATAGGGCTCTATGTGAGTCCTTGTCGGAATTCAAGAACTGGGTGACCACGGCAGAGGCGAAGGGAGTCCTCTTCCGTTGTCTCAGGGAATCGCCGCTCACAGTGGACGAGATCATCACGTAGAGCGGAGAAACCTTGTACCATCCAGTTGACGTGGTGGACCACAAGGTTCAGCAGTGACATCGTCGTTGGGCACCCGAGCGGGCAGACTACGATGGCACGGCACACCTTTTCTGCACAAAGTTCGGGAAGCATCCGAGAGAGCGACGCCCCGCTCATCGACGTAAGCCAGCTGGACAGGGCTATGAGTCGGATGAAGCCCCGCGCAGGACTCGGAAAAGATATACTCAACCCGCTGGATGTCCAGCGGCTCCCTCTTGCAGCGAAAGTGGAGCTGGTCGGCTTCTACAACCAAGTGGAGGATCATTGTGACGTGGCCATGGCACTTGTTCGTTGCGGAGGGGCGGCTATTGCCCAGGAAAGAAGAGGCGACAGAGTCATATGCCTCATCTGCATGACTTGCAGAAGATGGTCCTTGATCCGAGAAGATGGCATGAGACCATGGTCGGTTGAATCGAGTGAGGGTCTGGGATGCAGCCCTCGCGGGCAACTCGGCCTTGCGAAAAGCATTCCTAAAAAAACGATGTATGGAGAAGTATGCGGCACTCCCGGAGTCTCTTATGCTCATGACATTTTAGACATCCAGCCATTTTACGATGCAGTGACGCGGGCGTGTCTGGTCTACGCGGCGCTGAAATTAGAGCTCCTTCCAGTCATTCTTCCTCTGGAATTGCAAGTGCGTGCTGCACCGAGAATGATGGCGCAACTTGGGTTCAGCTGTTGCCCATTCCAGGTGGGCAGATCAAGCATACAAGGTCTTCGTGACGGCACCAAATTCGGTAAATGTGCGACCCACGTTGCAATACGAATGAAGAAGATCACAGAGGGTTACCCAGGGCTTCATGTACAAGCGTGGATTGATGACATTTGCGAGCCAGCTGTAGATTCCGAGAGACACGTCATCAAGACAATGACCAAGGGCGTTGAGGATACATTCCACATGATTGATGAAGAGAGGCTCACAGTGGCGTCCAAGAGTCTGCTGGTTGCTGTCCAGCATGTACATGCTCGGGCGATAGTGGGTGTTCTACGGCGTCGAGGGCATTATCTGCGGCCAGTCTTGCAGACATCGTACATTGGAGTCGACCTTGGTGCAGGTCGGCGCTTAGCTCGAGCAACTCGGCAGCGTAGAGTGATCAGAGCAAGGCACAAGCATGGGAAGATACCCAAGTGGGCAAGAGCCACTCGGAAGTACGCGCGGACAGCCACTTTGGAGAAGGCAGCAGGTCAGACGATTGCCCACGAGGGGCACCAGAGTCACGGAATGTTCGGTACAGAACTTGTCAACTTACGCCGCAGGCTCGGGACGGTGTGTGGATCCAACAGGAGTGGGCAGTGCCTCACCACCGTACTGGATCTCCGAGCACCTTTAGCAAAGCCCAGCGACACGAGTGCGCAGAGCATGTGTGAGCAAGTGGCTGCAGATTCGGACCACCACCCACCAGTGCAATCCGACCAGCAGTCGACAAGTTTTGTCCAGACAAGATGGCCAAGATGAAGACACTCACTAGCGCTGAACGGGTCACATTCGGGGGCCAATCAGCGCGGTGATAGCCATGCGTTTACTGTATCAGTGGGACCCACTACCTCCCTCACACTGGCAACTTCTGCGTGGCGGGGGCAATAGCAATTAGAAGTTCGCAGGCGAGCTGATGACAGGCAATGGGAATATGAGTGATATGATTCAGATGTTAAGTCATCGGTCCAAGATTGTTTGTGGAAGCAAGCAGCGAATCACTATTGTGGGGAAGGAATGCCGGGAGGTGTCGACAACGAGTCCATTCGAGGTTGTGTACGCAGAGTGGGAGAACGCCCAGCGGATTCCAGTGAACCGAAATTATGTTGGCAGTTGCTCAGAATCAACTTGGCCTCGCACGAGATTCGAAATCGAGGATCCTGATTTTCAGTGGTGTCCCAGGTGCCAGCAGCATGGCGAGCATCATCCAAAGACGCCGCTCCATCGCTTGTGGCTGCGCCCGCAGAATCGCGATCGCAGAGCATACCGCGACTCGGACCAGCACGCACCTCAGGCAGTCAGTCAGCACCAACAGTTCGAGTGCTTCTGGCTCAAAGACCTTTTGCCCAGCTCGTGGACGGAGGTCTAGCAGCCGACGGCAGAGGAGCAGTGGATTTTCGAGCCGCCCCGCAACGACAGCGACCTGATATTCGCGGTGGGTACAGACAATAATCCAGTCTACATTTGCGGAGATGCAAGTGGCGGGTCCAACACACACACACACACACACACACACACACACACACGCACACACACACACACACACGCCCAAGCTGAGACGTGTCGGGCTAGGTTTCACCATCATCGAGAAGACGAACCCTGCGCGCCTAGGGCTTGAGGCCAGAGGACCACTGCCAGGACGCAGGCATACGGTGTTCCGAGGAGATCTGGCAGTCCTGGAGTACGTCTTACGATGCACTCTGGGACTCGTTGTGTATCCTCCCGGCAGCGAGGTAGTGGGAAAGGATGGAATGGTCGAGTCAATCTTCACACTCGTGACGCCAAATCAGATGGATGTTGACTTGTGGGCAGCCATCGGTCAGCATGCATGAGGCTAAGAATCGGCATGGCAAGGCCATGGTCATTTTCCTGGATTCACGCATGTCGAATGACGAAGCAATCCCCAGAGGACATGCGCCGTGGATGTGGCGCGGCAACGAGCAAGCAGACCAGCTCGCAGGTACGGAAGCACGTGAATCCAGATTGGCGGAGAGTGAGAGGTTTCGTGTGTTGCAAAACGAGAAGCGAGCTGAGTTGGTGAGACGTCGGCTCATGAGGGCAACGATGGACGCCATCCCGGCTGACCCTCGGCCCATGCTTGAGGCGGAGAAAACTCGTGTGATTCCGCCTGCCCCAGCCACCGCTGCTCGCTGCTGTACCAAGCATGGCCTTGATGAGAGTAGTCGTCACCGCGTGAGATGTAAAGGTTCTGCGTCCAAGAAAATGTCTCACGGAGTGGCTTAAGACCCCGTCCTTCCCGTTGCAGAGTATCGACGGTGTTGTTTTACGTCTACCCTCGGGGTGTCAGGTCCATTGTGCGGGGGGTGGCTGCATTCCTCACATAACTTAAGGTTTCACGTGGAGCGTGCGGATTTTACTCCTCCGATCAGATCCGAGGCCTTGCATCTTAGTGTACGCATAGAATCAGCAAATCTCGACGTGACTATTTAAACATGGTTGGGGATGGACTCTGGCCAAAGCTGTTGTCGTTGTCGGAGCAACGAGCCAGAGGTCACATCCCACCTGAATTAATCTTCTCCGCTTCGCGAATTGACCATTCCCATTCCTGTCCCCATTCCTATCAATAACTTATCCTTGCCGCTGCTGGTCGAAAGGGCGGGCCTGGCGTTTCGTCCGAGACTTCCTCACCACGAATGACCCTGAAGCTGAAGTATGGGGAACAGTTTCGCGGATGAGGGAGGGTGGTGCTCCAAATGTGGCTGGCGCCTCAGCTTCAAGAGCTTAGCGGATGCGGGCCGTTTTCAAAATGGGGTTCTCGCCTGAGCGTCGCGTATACTCATGATGAAAAGGTTGCAAGCGCTTCAAAGATTGAGGGCGGGTCATCTTGGAAATGTGGTGCTCGCCGTAGTGCCGCGCACACTCGTCTTAGAAATCTGCAAGAGCTTAACGGATTGAGGGTGGGTCGTTTTCAACATGTGGTTCTCGCCTTAGCGCGGCACACATTCGCTTCAATCAATGCAAGAGTATAACGGATAAAGGGCGGGTCGTTTTCGAAATGTGGCTCTCGTCGTATCGCCGCGCACAAGCGTTCTAACAATTTGCAAGCTTAACGGATTGAGGGCGGGTCGCTTTCAAAATGTGGCATTCGCCTTAGCGCCCCGCACATTCGTTTAAACATTTAGAGGGGATTCCTGGATTCCGAGGATAAGCGTACCAGGAATGGTGTCTGGGCGCGATTCAAGATTGTCGAGGCGCAACAATTACGTTGATTCGCGGCGCTGGGGTCCCAGGAATGGCGTTCCGGTGCGAGTCAGAATCGTCAAGGCGCCACAATCAGGTCGACTCCCAACGGGGCACGTCTCTCAGTGAAAATGAACCCTTGTAGGGGCCTATGAAGAGGAAGCTTGGAGCGAGGGTTCATTCAAGCATCGTCGATGAGTCTTGGGTTTACACTGTTCCTCTCCTCCTCCCAATCCTCCTCCTCCACCCAATCCTCCTCCTCCTCCTCCTCCTCCTCCTCCTCCTCCTCCTCCTTCCTCTCCTCCTCCTGTCTTCCTTCTCCAGATGTTTCCCCCAAGGGTTTCCTCAAGGGCTGGGGAAGCACACGATCAAACAGCTTGGCCGAGCTTTGAACCCGACGTTTGGCCGCATCGGCGCCTCAAGGAAGACAGGGCGCGGCGATGATTCGCCGCAAGCGTCCTCGGAACCCTCCGAAGCGGAGCCACGGGCAGGGGCCGCCTCGAGCTGCTTGAGGATCGTCGCCCCGTCGTTGGTGATCGTCACGTCGCCGATGTCGTCCACCTCCCCATCACACCTCTCCCTTGAACGAAGGATTACAATCCTTCGTTTTTTTTTGTTTTTTGTTTGCAATCCTTTTTTTTTTTGCAATCCTTCGTTTTTTTGCAATCCTTCGTTTTTTTTGTTTTGCAATCCTTCGTTTTGTTTTGCGAGACTGCCCCCCCCTCCCTCACAAACGAACGCCACTGCAGCGAAAGCTGTCCCAAGTGCAGGGGTGGGCGTGTACTGCCGCAGCGCTCAGTGCGCCTTCTCGGCAACGTTCCTTCTAACTCCCTGCCCTCCCTGCCCTGCCCCTCCCTCGCTGAGGCCAAGGGGGCGGCTTGAAGGCCAAGAGGCTGCCACCGAACGCACAGGCAACAGCGCAAGAAGGCCCGCCACTCAGGACCTGTGGGAACAGTCCGATCACAACAGGCATCTGGCCTGGCTCCTCCTGGCGAAGACACGTTGCTGGTCCCTCAGGGCATCATGCATGACATGCCTGGCATCATGCCGAGGGCACACGGCCGATCCTGGCGACGTAACGGTGCTCGCTACCACGCTGATTGGGGCAACCATGATGGCGTTGGCTGTGCTGACTGTCGTCGTCATGGTGCGGATTATGAGAACCAGTTATGCTAGTGGCCCGCCACCGTGCTTTTGGTACGCTGAGGCGTGTCAAAATGCTCCTCATATGTATATGTGATGGTGAATTTATGTAATGTTTCTACTGCTGGCGCTCGCACACGCGCGCGAACGCACCTACACACAAACACTCGCTGCGAATGGCCTCCGAAACCCGCTCCCCCCTGACTTGGCTCTCTAGAGCCTATTCCGGCTTCCAGAGAACTTCAGGACAGCCACAGATCGCAACGGAACGGCCACGAGCCACCCCAGGCTGCAAGATCGTTCCCGAGATGCCCCAACAGGTTCCAAGAAGCCTCGACGAGACGCCCCAACAGACATCCAGCAAGGCGTGCAAAGGAGAAACATGCTGAAACAAACAATTGGACTTCAATGGTTTTGTGTCCGATGCCTAATCATCGGCTTGGGATCGCCTCGGAAAAGCCTGAGAGAGCCCCAAGAAGCCCCCAAGACAGCCTAAAACTGCTCCACGAGAGCCCCCAGATGACCCACAAATCTAACCGCTCGGCTTCCAGACGGCTCCAAGGTAGCCAAAGACAACCATAAAACGGCTGCAAGCCACCCCATGACCGACCACAGGCGGCCCGAAGAGCCCCAGAAGCGTCCAAGTTCCGCCAACGATGAATCAAGAGGTCCCAAGGAGAGGCCCCAAGAGGCCTCCAGGGAGGCACTCGGGGGCGAAAAACGGTGGAGTACCGAACGCGCATCAGTGTGCTCTTTGCTCCCCAAGCTTCTCGGCTTTAGATCGCCTCGAATAGGATTGAGAGACGGAACAGCCCAAGACTGCACCAACAGAGCCCCAAGACATGCACAAGAGCGCACTGCTCGGCTTCCAACGGGCCTCAAGACAACCAAGGGCCGCCCTGCCCAACGATCTCCCGCAGGATCCAAAATCTCCCAAAGAAACCCCAATGATCCCAAGAGGCCTCCAGGACACGCTCCGAAAAGGCTTCATCGAGGCCTTGAGAAAGGAAAAACGTCTTAATCAACCACAGCAGCAATCGTTTTACGACTGTTCTCTCTTATCTGCCCGCGTCTCGATCATACCCCCCTTGTGGGCATGACTTCCTCACCTGCCACGTGCGCCCCTAAGAGAAGGGAAGGGCGGGAGGAGGGAGGGCACACAGGGGAGGGATACAGATGGAGGACAGGAGACATTAGAGGCGGCAGAACCAGACGGGCGGGTCGGCCGGGCGGACCCTGACGGGCGGGTGGGGCGGGCGGAACCAGAGGGCTGGGTCGAGCGGGCGGGCGGCTGAAGCGTCAGCCTCAGTCCTGCATGGATCGCGAGGAAGTCTCGAACCATAGCGCGATTTCCAAGGCACATCGTGAGGAAGTCCGGAGCGGGAACGCGGTTCGCGAGTGTCGAGGGCGGGGCGACGGAGTAAAGCTCGGGGCAGTCCCACACGAGAGCGCGGCTCCTGCGTGAGCTGTAAGGAGTGCCCGCGCGGGAGCGCGGTTCTTTTCATCCGTTGCGAGGAAGCGTCGGGCGTGAGCCGCTGTCGTTGTAAGCCAGGGCCGAAGACATCCCCTCGCAACAACATTCAGTTTAGAAAAACAAAATCGGGGATGGACAGACCTCCCTTTAGTAAAACGTGGTTTAGTGAAAACGACCTGAGGCCCAAACCTGGCGGGCGCAAGCCTGGAAAATAGCGGCCACGGCGCCCTCTCGAGAACCGAAAACGGACAATTCACTAATCGACGTGTCTCTATTGGGGGTTCTGTCCACCCCCGACAACATGGACACAGGGAGGGTGGCCAATAATAACGACCCCCCACAAGTGAGAGTTCAACATTCTTTTTGAAGACTCCTCGCTCTCACACGCTTTCGTGTCATCCAACATGAACCTCCCGAAGCGTCGATACCCACAGTCTCCGCCTTTGATCGTACCCCCTCTGGATGTACATCTTCCTCCCCTGACACGCGTAGTTGGCGCAGCCCTAAAATCAGGAAGAACATGAATGATGAAAAGGGGGAGAGCGAGTAGAAAGGAAGTGGAGGAGGTGAGGGAGGAGGGAAGGGGCAAGAGGGACGGAGGCAGAAGATGACGGACGAGAGGGATTAGCAGGAGGGATTAGCAAGAGGGGATTTAGGTGGAGCGAAATGGGCCATCCAGAAGGTGGGTCGTCGAAAGGGTGTACGGAACGGCGTTCGGGGAAACATTCCACGATTCTTGGAACGTCGTTTCGCGCGACGTTCGGAGCATGTCGGCCCCCTCGACTCGCAGACTGCTTTCGCGCCGACACCAGTACGCCCGGAAGCGGGATCCATCCGCGCGAGTGGAGCCGAATTGTCTGTAGGGCCATCCGTGGAGATTGCTTTGCCGCCTCCCTCTATCCTTCTCGTCTCCTTATCCTCGTCGAAGGCCGCGCTCTGTCATGTCGCCGCGGCGGCCATTGCCCTGCTCTCCCTTGTGCACGCTCCCTTGCTGGTGGCCTTCCTGCCCTTTCCAACCGCTCCGTCTTCCCGCCACCCCTCATCTCTCCCCCTCTCCTCCCTCCCCCGCCTGCCTCCCCCCCCCCCTCCCCTCTCCCAGTCCTCTCCCTGTCCTCTCTCTCTCTCTCTCTCGCCTTCGCCTTCGCCCTTGTCCACTGCCACTCCTCTCCCACAATCCAATCCTACCCCCCTGCCCGCCCGCCCTCCCGCCCGCCGCCCTCTGGCCCGCCGCCCCGCCCCGGGCTCTCATCAGGCAGGGCTGCCCGGGAGCTTCAAGGAGGCCCTCCCGCACGCCACTCCGCCGGGCCGCTTCTGAGGGCTCCTGGGCTCACGGGGGCCCCAAGCAGGCCATCCCTCCGGCTCCTGGGGGGCCCCCCGCCCGGAGCCCCAAGCAGGCCGTCCCACATCGGCTCACGGGCCTCCGCGGCCTGCACGCGCCCCGCACGAGGCCCGGCCGTGGCCGCCCCGCCGGGGGCCCCAAGTGGGCCGTCCATCCGGCTCGTGGAGGCCGTTCCGCGGGAACCTCCCCGCCCGCGCCGCTTTGAAGCCCCAAGGAGGCCATCGGACCCGCGGATCGCTGGGGGCCCCAAGCAGGCCATCCATCAAGGCTCGTGGGACCCTTGTCCATGGAAGCGCTGGAAAGGCGTTCCGCGCCCTGGGGGAAGCTGTTCCGCGGGCCAAGCTTCCCCCCCTCCTCTTCCCCCGCCCTCCCTCCTGTTCCCTCGTTCCCCCCCCTCTCTCTCTCCCCCCTCCGTCCTCCTCCCTCCTCCGCCCCCCTCCCTCCTCGTCCGCATAATGTGCCTCCTCCATGCAGCTTCATGCAGCAAGTATCTGCGTTCCGGAAGAATCCTGGCAAACGATAAGAATGCGAGACAAAAATGGCGACGACGATGCCCGCACAAAATGATGGCTACCGCCTCCTCGTCCTCCCCTATCAGCCTCTCCCGCCTGCGTTAACACATCGTGGAGGCAATTTCGTCGCGTCTAGAACAACCGCAGAACAGAGGAGGGAGGACACATAGAAAGCATTAAACAAACAGAGGTCGCAAGAAGATGGCGAACGTCGATCTGCAAGCCGCGTGGGAGAGGTCGAGACAGCCCAGACGTCATCTATCAGACCAACGCCGCCTTCCGATAAACATTGGTCGAGGCGCGTGGTGCATGTGGGTGGCTGCACGATGCGCAGTCTCTGCTGTGGTTTCCTGCGCCCTGTCGCGCCATACGCCCGAGGAACGGCCCGCTGGTCCATGCACCCCCCCGGATGGCCCAGCTCGCCCCCTCCCAAAGGGATGGCAGGGAAGAGTCTCCGGCGAGAGCGCGGCCCCAGGCGCAGGTGCTCGCGAGAGTCCCGAGCGAGAGCGCGCCCCCAGAGCGCCGAGGCAGCGACCCGTGAAGGCATTGGCACGGAGGTCACAGGCGAGAGCGCGGTCATCGGATCAATCATTCGCAAGGGGATGTCGAGCGAAAGCCGGATCTCTCGAGACCTTGCGAAGGCCCATCAGGCAGGAGCCGCTGCTGATGCCAACACCGAGGGGCAACAACCCGGTCTGAGCCTCGATATCGTCCATCGTACAAAAAAAAACAAGGTGCGAACCCCGGGAGGGCCACTTCAATTGAAACATGAATTGGGCAAGGAAGGGGGACCGCACGGAGGAGGAGGAGGAGAGGAGCGGGAGGAGGAGGAGGAGGAGGAGGAGGAGGATGTCTTTAGAAATGGGAGCTCAGCAGCAGCAGCAACAATCGTCCTAGCACTGATCGTTTGTCGCTGCCTTTGTGTCATTCAACACGCATGCCCCCAAACCCTTCGATGCCCACCCTCTCCGTCTTCGATCGTACCCCCTTTCGGGGGTATGGACTCCTTGCTTGCCACGTGTAGCTGGCACGGCCACACAGACAGGGAGAGGAGGGAGAAAAGACAAAGGGAGACAGCGAGGAAGACGGGAGG